CGAGCTTCTGTCGTTCTTTTTCCCTTCCCTTATCCTTTCTTCTTGCTTCCGTCTTCTGTTCACTAGCTGTCACTCGTTGTCGCATGTACACGCTGTTACTCGTTGTCGCATATATGTACTCTTGTCAAACATTTGGGCCTATAGCGTAATGGTCAACGCGTTACGATTTGAAGAATTCGAGGATAGTGAAGATGATGAGCTATTCGATATCCGTATCTTGGTCCATATCCTTCGCATGAGAAGAGCATCACTGTTTGGGTCTTTTGTTTTCCTATCTTTTCGGTTTTAACTCCATCGAAAGTTTGAAATGCAAAAATTGTTCAGTCGAACCAAAAAAAAAATACTCGCAAAAAACGATTTTTCTAAGTGAAAAATTTAAGAGTTATAACTAACTGCACGTGGGTATATTTGACTGAGTATTTTTGTTGTTGAATAGCGATATGTCAACGAAAGAACAGTAATTTATACTTAAAGGGATGAGAGGGCTACTGACCAAGGGTCAAAAAACCCGCAAAATTAAACCACTGGTTATTCGCGAAATATGTGAGCACCAAAATCATTTCTAAAATTTCTTACTGAAAGTGGGTCCGGGAACGTCAAACTGCGACAGAACTTAAAATCCTATTATCCCCTGTTTTTCGCGAAAGATGAACAAGCAGCATTGCTTGTATGAGGTCCAAATTCGATAGTGTTTCTTCTTCCCCGCACTGCCTGTGCTTGTCCTTTGACCCTACAAGCACATTTCAGATGAAAGCATTACAAAATTTGCGCAATGTACTGTTACCTACGCAAGGACAGTCACCCGGCAGCAACGCAACAGCTCAGGATGCAAAACGGCCAAAAACAACACCGGAAAGCCCAGCACCGCTACTGCAACAAACAACAAACGGAGCACAAGCTGCTTCTCCGAAGGCTTCAACACCGTGTCAACGATCACAAATGAGAAATCCAATTGAAAAACCTGTCACAACGTAAAAATCCTCAAATCGTGCAACTTTGCTGACTTTTTTCCAGAAATTCTAACCTAAAAAAAACACTCGTTCTTCAATAAAACGAAAATGAGTTTTT